ATGAAGCACCTGACATGTCCATCAAAGCTGCTATCTTCATGCTTCTGATCAGCACTGGTCTCGTTGCTGTCTGCGCCGACTTCATGAGTGAAGCTATCGAGCCCATGGTTGAGAGTTCTGGTATCAGCCAAGCGTTTATCGGTCTTATCATTCTTCCCATCGTTGGCAACGCTGCAGAGCACGTCACTGCAGTCACTGTCGCGATGAAGAACAAAATGGATCTTTCTATTGGTATTGCTGTCGGCTCTTCCATCCAGATCGCTATCTTCATCACACCTGTCATTGTTATCCTTGGTTGGATCATGGGCAAGGAGATGACACTGTACTTCAACATCTTCGAGACTGTCGCACTATTCGTCACAGTCCTGGTGGTGAACTTCTTGGTACTGGATGGTCGCAGTAACTATCTCGAGGGTAGTTTGCTGATCGCTGCCTATATCATCATTGCGCTGGCCAGTTTCTTCTACCCTGACGGCTGTGAGGCCAGTGCCATTGGTGGCAACGAGGACCGCTGCAGCAATGGCGAGGTTGCTCGATTGGCGCAAGGTATGGTCAAAAGGATGATTGGCATGTAGGGCCAACATCGATAGTCAAGAACCCTGAAGCCTGAGTAACATCAGATTTCAGTATGAGTTCTTGGTCTTTGCTATTGCTTTGCGATCACACGGTTGAGTGGCATGGTGTGATGTCCGCTCCCGTATAGAGACTTTCCAGTGTGTCTCATTTCTTTCTATTACGATAGCATACAGTCCTTACAGACACCTAATAGCTCATCACCTCCGAGGTCCTCAAATTGACACATAAGATTGGCTCCTCAAGCGCAGCCTGCCTCACATTCTTGCCTGTGTTATTTTTGCGTGTGATGGAAACTGCTTGTTCGTGGCATTCGTTGATTTGATGTACTCGTTCCTGATGTGAGGAAAGCCAATGATGCCTCTTGCTAGTCGAGGGGTCATCTTCCGGCGCCCTGCCAAGAGGTTTGGCGTCTGCCTAGCCCGCTCCTTCGACATACGGGGAACACTTCGCGAACTCAGCCACCAAGCTTCGACGCCCTCTGCCCTTTTCGCTGCTGATCCTTCAATATGAATATCGTGCATTCCGTCTATCTAGGATCGAACCAACGCCCAAATTCATCCTCCCACCACGCCACGTATCGCGACACATCCTGTCTACAAGACTCCTGCTTTCCCGCATGTTGAAGAGTCGATACAGCGCGTTCTTTTCCTTTTGTATACATAGCACAACATGGTCAGTCGGGGTGGTCGATCAAAAGGTTGTGCTAATTGTCGTCGCCGGCGTGTGAAATGCGGTATGTCCATTCACCCGGTCAACCTTTGCAGAGACCTGCTGCATGTGCTGACGTGACAAGACGAAAACCGCCCTGAATGTGGACAATGCATCAAGCGTGGACTCAAATGTCAAGGGCCCAAAGACCTTACTTGGATCCATGAGAGTGTCACGTTTGAAAGCAAGCCTGCAAACACAACCCAGAACGCAATTGTCAGGATAGCTACTCCAAACCAGCTATCTCTCGCAGCCTTCGAAGATGATATCTGCTTAGCATATACGCGAAAGAACTTGCTACGCGGGGGACCTGTTGAGATTGCCTGCAACATGATCGAGAGCCATGCCGCATCTATGAGAGGCGACGATCCTGGTCTTGATTTATTGCGAAAAGGCATAGTGAGCCTGTCGACCACCTTCTTCGGTAGCCAGCATCGACAGGGCGATATCACGACCAAAGGCTATCAACAGTATGGTCAGGTGCTGCGGCAGCTCAATTCACATCTTGCTCGTACAGAGCTTCAGACGACGAACGAAACATTACTTACGTCACTGTCTTGTATGCTTCTCGAGATCTTTTTACCTACTGGACCAACGAACTTTCTGAAACACCTGCGAGGTCTCGACGCCATTGCGATGCTAAGAGGCCCGCCCAGGGAGTCTGAAGGTACCAACGCTATCATCTTCCGGGGCCTGCGCATCCTTTCCATCGTTGGGGCACTTGCGGAATCCAGGCCCTCTATATACGCGACCGAGGAATGGAAGCGGATTCCGTCTGCACATTCCAACGAGTCGGGACTCTTCCAACACCACGTTTTCTCCATCTTGGCTGACTGCACCCGCCTCATCAGCCAGCGGAATGCTCTAATGCGCTCAAAAGCATGTCCAGAGAGCTTTGAATCTTTGCTTACCGAAGTGGAGGATGTGCTTAATAACTTGGAAGGGCTACACCCGTTCTGGGAGGTCTTGAACCGGAATCAACTAGCTGGAACGACTGAGCGATCTGACATGGCGAAGACACTAGGAGTGGCCAACCACGTTTCTGCAACAGCATTGATGCTTTACAACACCGCATACATATGCGTCATTCAGATCAAAGATTCATTGTCTCCATCGCCTGTCAACACCGCACTGCGAAACGCCGCCGCGATGAAAATCGCCAAATGCCTAGAGTTGAAAGAGTACGAGCAGCGGGAAGGTGCACCTCAATCCAATACCATAGCCTTTGTAGCTATCAAGGTAGCCTGGCAAGCTTTGGGTGGGTTCAACTCACCGGAAGGACAGCGCTTAGCACATACTGTCAAATCTGCCACCAATTCGGTCTTCGCACGAGGATCTACGCTTTCTGATGCGTCGCACTTTGCCCATTATGTTGAAGAGTCGCTATTCACCAAATTCCTTGGTAGGATACCTCTTATAGCACCGGATGGCGCGGCGTGTGTTGGCAACGAGTTCGGCTTGTGGCCTGATGGGCCTCCAGGGGTCATCGAGTTCAGCATGCAACAGCTAAGCACGCCCTCCGAGTTCTTTTCAGAGACCACACTCGCGCCGCTCTAGTGTGGCGCAGCTACTGTATGTAACCGGTTCGAGATTAGCAGCGGTCGACAGGAATCCCTCTTTAAGATGCGACGTCGCAGTACATTACACAGACACGCCACTCCTAATCTACATCAGAAGACTTCTTCCACCGCCTTCTGGACCTCTATATTAATTTCGCGGATTGTCACGCGGCTCCACATGGCGTGTTTCCAAGCTTCCCCGGATTTAGACTTTAGCCGGCGGGAATCTGAGAAATGAGACGCGGCGAATTTACATCTGAACGCGCTCCGGGCGAACGGCACATCTTCATTGATGTGATGTCAATCCAAGAGGATCTTGAGCGATGTTCAACACAGACGGCTGTGGTTCCCTGGGTGTTTGCATTAACACAGAGTCCATGCCTCACTTCGCTTGGCCAGAACATCGGCACACTGACAGGTGTCACCAAACATCCGAGCTTCTACTATAGCAACTACCGGACAGGGTTTCTCGCCGCCTCCGATGACCCGGTTCAAGCAGTTTAAGCATGTCGTCTACCATAAACGAGCCAAGAGCCCCTAAGCTTCACGGGAATGACCTCAGGACAGCGGGCGGGGCCTTGGCGTTTATACATAAGATGGAGGGCATTGGCCTACAATGTGAGCAGTTCGAAACATCAGTCGTTCAAACAGTCGTTCTTTCATCAACATGGGTGTCAAGTCTTTCATTGTCGCGGCCTTTGCTGCGGTTGCCATCGCTGGACCGATTCCCGAGCCTCTCGACATGATGAAGCGGGCTGGGCCTGCTGCCGGACAAGTCATCACCAAGTGCGCCAACCCTGGTCAAATCGCTCTTGCCTACGATGACGGCCCATCGCAATACACCCAGAAGCTTGTCGACACCCTGACTGCTGGTGGAGCTAAGGGTACTTTCTTCGTCACTGGATCGCTCTACGGTATGTATATGCTTCATTTACTACAAGCTGAAACCACCATCTAACATCAACAGGCTGCATCTACAACCAAAAGAGCGCCCTCCAAAACGCGCACAAAGCGGGCCACCAGATCGCATCGCACACCTGGTCGCACCCCTCGAACTTCGGTTCCCTCTCCACCAACGACCTCACGTCGCAAATGACGCGCCTCGAGCAAGCCCTCGTCAACATCATCGGCGTAAAGCCCACCTACATGCGCCCGCCTTACCTCGCCACCGGTGGCAACGTGCTCCCCACGATGAAGACCCTAGGCTACCGCGTCATCACCGACGACGTCGACTCCGGCGACTGGAACGGCAAGACGCCCCAGCAGAGCCAGCAGGTGTTCCAACAGGCGGGCACCAGTGGCAATGGCCACATTCCTCTCATGCACGAGACTTATGCCAGCACGGTCAACACGCTCACCCCGTGGTTGATTAACTGGGCTAAGAACAATGGGCTTAAGATGGTTACTGTTGCGGAGTGCCTTGGTGATGCTCAGGGCGCGTATAAGAGTGGCACTCCCAACGGTCAGGGTACCTGCTAGAGTCGTTGAATTGAGGAGGAGCTGCTATGCTGCATGTACTTCTCGCATTGCTGAATGCGGAATGAATGGCCGGTAGGAGAGGATGTTGAAGAACTTTGATTAGTGTACATATTTACTTCTAGAAAGACTCTTTTGCGAGAACAGGATTTCTGCTTCAACCACATGTTTATAATCTTGAGCTTCGTGTCTGACAGATCACGTGCCCTGACGGTGCCTTCCAAGGCTCCTTCCCTAGGTGAGTAGGGTGCGTCACCGCTCTCCGTGCATGCTCTTCTCCCCACCAACGAGTGCGACTTCATCGACGAACGATCATTATATCTTCATCTTTTCCACATGTTGCATACGCTCCCACTTTCCCGATCACTCCTCTGGTGCTGCGAAACGCGCTTCCACATGGCTTTGAACGCACTGCACAGCCTGATGTCTCGCCATGCGCGGCATGATATCCAGCAAACCTCACTTTGCCTCTATTACCTATAATCTCCAGTATCATCATCTTGTTCCGACTCACTCTCACCTTGGACTCTCTTACCCACTAGCGCTCTTGCCGAAGTTAGCTTTTGAACGACTTCATGCCTCGCATATAAGACTTCATTTCCTCAACGCTATCTCTAGATCTCTACACCCCACTGGGATAACTTCGACTAGCCCTTCAACGACTACCCTCCCAGCAAGATCATGATGGATCTGTTGGATCTACCGCCGGAAATATTCCAGAAGATCATCGCGAGCTACGTCCATAAAGTTGGAGTCAGCGAGGCATGGGAACGACGCGATGTCTGCAGTGAGTGCCATCCGATGATCTCCCGACGTGAACTTATTCGCTCTAGGAACATTTGCCGCCTTCATCTCCGAAGAGTGCTTCGGCAGACAGCCCATGATCAGATACGCGCAGCCGGCAGCCAAACGACTTTTCCTCCGACACGTAAAGCTGTTCCTTACATACCGGTGCAAAAGCTTGTACGGGGCTCCGACACTACTGCCTAGTCTCGTCCGTAAAGTCGTTGAGCACTTCATGACGACTACATCACAGACATCGGAGACAGTTCGCGAGGCCTATACGGACCGAGTTTGCCACGCCATCGTCAATCACCTTCCTGAAGGCAAGCTATTCAAACTCGCCACCAGACCCACCCTCCTCATGTGTAACAAAGCCGCCAGCAATCCGGTCGAAACCTATTGCTTAACGATCGCCATATTGATGGAAGACAAGGAGCTTATCACCCACTACCTCTCTCAGAGCGTCTCTGTGTGGAACGGAACCGAAGTCTTTGAGATACCTCTCAAGGTCGCCGCACAATCTGGAGCTATTGAGTTCGTGGCTCAGCTCTTGGAGAACGCAAAGAGCAGCCTTACTAAGTCAGCTAAGGCCAAGCCGACGATGCATCTGAGCACCATCATCGATCGCACTATTCGGTCTGGACACTGGAATGTTGCCATCATCGTCATAGACTGGTGGTTTCAGCATCTTCGTAAGCCCCTACCAGCGTCCGTAGAAGATTGGGTCATAGCAGCTGCTGGTATTCCTACGACTAAGTTTCTACACCGGATACTGGACTATGATCATACACCCGCCGCAAAAGCTAGACTAGTGGAATGCCTCTACTATTCTCACTCTACTTGGGGCGTTGGTCGCATGAACCGTCTTGCTAGGGCTTTGATCAATCGAAACATTTTAGACCCGTCAAAGTTCTACAGTCATGTACTCGCACTCTCCGGCTCTCTCTTAGCCCTCGCGGTTGAAAAGGGTGATTTCCAACTCGCCACGAGATACCTGAAGCTTGGTCTGAGTCCAAATGGTCTGCAAAACCCAGAGGGCAACCTCGAGTATCCGCTGGTCCGAGCCGTGAAGAAACGCGACGAGACTATGGTTAGGCTTCTACTTGATCATGACGCCGATCCAGAGCCAGCACAACGCTGGGTCTCCAAGGCTCCTGACGAGCCAGATGAAAGGCCCTTCAAGCGCTTATCAGAAGAAATACGCTGTGACTGGCGGAAAGAATGGGACACCACAGAGAGCATTGAAGCACTGATACGCCAGGCGGCCGAAGCCAAAGATCGGAGAGAGAAAGAGACCTTCACTGACGCTTAGTCGTGTGCGATATCATCCACAGCACTCATATACTGTGTGCTGGCTTGGCGATCCATGACTGCGGCAAAAGTTCTTCCGTTACGACTTCTCCTCCATGTTCTTGGATGTCTCTGACATCTCAAAAGCTCTCTTCCTCTTCTGACATCCTTGCCCTTCTTTCTCAGCATGCGAATCCACCAAACAATCACACTCAGCAAAAGTACTTGCTTTCTTCTTTTCTTTGTCTATGCGCAACGGGCTTCAGCTCTCACTCTCCATAAGTTTCATCAATGCAATACACCATCCACCTTTAACGAACACTGAGCTACCAATTGCGCTATTGTGACCCACAATCCAGTTAAAGCACCCTATTCATGTGAAAAGCTGAACATCGTGAGGCCTGAATCAATGCTACATCTTCTCAGTCGCATGTTTTTGGCCTGATGTAGGCTGCACACGGCCTGCCTATCCAGTGCTTTCCTTGCATGAGGCGGCAGCCAACCCGAAGTGCAGGACGCAAATTGTCGACGAAAGGTACACACCCATGTCACAACAACTTTATAGAGAACTAAAGTTTTGAACTTTAGAACTTTAGAATGGATATTTCCGTCGCCGACCCACTCTTGCAGACCAGGCGAACAATACTGTTACAAAGCCAATGCGCACTTGTCTATGCTACAAAAGCCACGACACCATACGCATGCTTACGTCTAGAGTGGAATAAAACCCTTTGAATCATCGCCAAGCACTCCTCCATGTCATAAACCATGCCACAATGCACCTTGGAAAGAAAGAAACGAGATCGATAAAACTACATCTTCAGCCACCATCACCTCCTAGCGTCCAGGTCCTTGAAAGTCGCTGGGCTGGGAGGTACCAATGGGCCCTTGACACCATCGTTGCCTTGCGGCTCGATGTACCCAGGCGCCTTGCCGTACTCACCAGAGAAGTACTTGTGGAAATCTTGGCTGTCTTCGAAAGGACGGGGTCCGAGTAGCCTGATCATGTCTTCGCGGCCGAGCATCTCCTTCTTGAGGAGCTCCTCTGCTACGAGGCCGACTTCGTGCTTCTTCTCGGTGAGGAGGTCCTTGCATTGCTTGTAGGCTTCGTCGACGATGCGCTTGACCTCCATGTCGATGTTCTTGGCAGTATCTTCGGAGAAGGGCTTGGTGAGTTGTTGGCCCTCGCCGTCTTCGAAGTAGATGTATCCGATCTTCTTGCTCATGCCCCACTTGCTGACCATGGCGGTGGCCATGGCGGTCACCTTGCGGAAGTCGTCGGATGCGCCCGAGGTGACGGTGTCGAAGTGGAGCTCTTCGGATACACGGCCTCCTAGAGTCATGGCCATGCGGTCCATCAGCTGGTTGACGTTCATGAGGTATGTGTCGCCGTTGGGGAGGTACTGGGCGTATCCAAGAGCGCCTTGGCCACGGGGAATGATGGAGACCTTCAGGAGAGGGTCGGCCCACTTGAAGTACCAGCCGCAGATAGCGTGGCCGGCCTCGTGGTAGGCGACGGTCTTCTTCTCCTCGGGCTTCAGGACAAGGGACTTCTTCTCGAGACCTCCGATGACACGCTCGATGGCTTGCTCGAAGTGTACCATGGCAACAGTCTCGGCATTAGCACGGGCGGCTGCAAGTTGTTAGTGCATGTGCAGTCAAGAGGGTCATAAATACGTACCGATCAGAGCAGCTTCGTTAACACAGTTGGCAATGTCGGCACCGGAAAAGCCCGGCGTCAAAGCTGCTAGCCTGCCCTTCAAGAACTCCATGTCCTCGTTGGTGACGATCTTCGCCAGATGAACACCGAAAATCTGTCCTCGTCCGTCCATGGTGGGCTTGTCGATGCTGATGTGCCTGTCGAAACGACCAGGTCTCATAAGCGCTTTGTCCAATACGTCGGGTCGGTTAGTACCAGCCAACACAACGACTTGCTCAGTGGTGTTGAATCCGTCCATCTCTGTCAGGATCTGGTTGAGAGTAGCCTCGCGCTCGTCGTTGCCACCGCCGAAGTTCTGCTTCGATCGGGCACGACCAATAGCGTCAATTTCGTCAATGAAGATGATGCAAGGCGTGCTCTTGCGCGCATTGGCGAACAAGTCGCGGACACGCGATGCACCAACACCGACGAACATCTCGACGAACTCAGAACCACTGACACTGAAGAACGGGACGCCCGACTCTCCTGCGGTCGCCTTGGCAAGAAGCGTCTTACCAGTACCGGGGGATCCAGATAGAATAGCACCACGAGGGATCTTGGCGCCGAGCTTCTGGAATCGACTTGGGTCTTTGAGGAAAGAGACGAACTCCATGATCTCTAGCTTGGCCTCGTCCATACCGGCGACATCTGAGAACTTGACCTTGACATCCGTCTCGTGGTTGAACTTCTTGGCGCGACTCTTACCCATGCCGAACACACCACCGCCTCCGCCAGCGCCGCCTCCCGCACGTCTGGTGAAGTAGAAGAGCGCACCAAGGACGAGGATGGTGGGACCGAAGGACAAGAAGGTGCCGAACCAGGAGATCTCGCTCGAGTATGCCACTGGTATGCGTTCGGAGCTTGGGATGCCCAGCTCATACTGCGCGTCGTCCATCTTGCGCTCAAAGGCCTCGACGGAACCGATTGTGAAGTAGTAGTAGAAGTTCTGGTTGACGGAAGGCGAGTCGGGATACATGGACGATACGGCCTCGCGGTGCAGGTAGACCTTCGCTCTGTTGCCGTTCAGAATGACGATCTTCTCGACCAAACCCTTGTCCAGGAAGGTCGTTCGGAACTCCTGCCATGTTATTTCCTTGGAGTTCTCGCTCGGGAAGATGGTCTTGTATGTGAGGTATGCGAGGAAGGCGCTGATGAGGATCGTGTTGGTGTCCATACCGCCGCCGAACATGGGCCCCACTGGTCCACCAGCTCCGCCAGCGCCACCCTTGGATCCCTTGCCTGGGCCCGGGTCATGTGCGCCCGACTTCTGCTGTGGTTCCTCGGAGCCGTCCTTGAACTTCTGCTGATGTTGGTCCGCCGCCTTGCGTGCCATGTTGGTTGTTAACCGCGAGATCTTGGCCGCGGTGGCCAGGTCCAGCTTCTCGCCTCTCTCCAGCTTGTCCATCTCCTGTCGCAGCTCTGGTGGTATTCCAGTGCGCTTAATCTCGTCCATTGCTTCCTTGATGTTCTGCTTCTGTGACTTGGGGACGCCCATGGACACGAATGAGACTAGTTGATCCAGCATCTTCTCCTCCTCTGGCGTAAGTTTGGACATTTGAGGCTCTCCCTCCTTCTTTCCAGACAATCTGAACTCAGGCTTGTGAGGCGTGCCGTCCTTCTTCGCTGGCTCGTCATCCTTCTTCTCCTTGGGCTCCTCCGGGGGCCCGGTCGCAAATCTCCGCACTCGTTGCTGGGTATATATACATTGTGGTATCGGTGCTCGTGTGCGTAATGTGCGTGGTGCCCTCGTGGCAGCGTTGAGGCAGGGTCGGGATAGGCGCGCTAGGTTGCCTGAGCGGCGGAGGAGTGTCGACATGGCGGCGGAACAGAGGTGCCGGGACTGCGGGGTGGGGTATAATATAACAATGGAAGGGGGTGTGTGACAAGTAAAGAAGAGTGACTGTATTACCGCGCCTGTTCACTGCCTCGGGCTGGCAGTAGAAGAATGTCTTGTGGCGGGTGCGCTTCGATGGCGAAAGCTAGGATATGACAGAATCATCGAAGTTCTACCCATGCCACCGACACGCCGACTGCCTTACTAAGCGGGGCTGCCTGCCCGCATTACGCGTGAACATGTGCCAGAGTCTAGAACCACGCCTTGACTCGACTGTTTCTTTTGCTTTTGATCCTCTTATATTTTCGCCTCAATGCTCTGCAAGAACATGCGGTACGTGTAGACACCAATTGCCTCCGATTAGAGTAGGTTCCCTGCCTCGGTCCGACCGCCACGCGTATTCATCTCCATGACCAAGAGACGCGCAAGTAGGAATTCAATTGATGAAACAGTAAAGTCTCTGATCAGCGCACTACAATACATGTGACATCCAGATCTCATGTAAAGTTCGCACCCGAACAACTCCGTCAAACCACTGCATGTAGATCATGCAGGTGCACGATACATGCACCGACCGACTAGTTCCATCATCCATCCTGGTCCGGGGCGATTACCATGGGTCGTCAGCCCGCAGCTATAGCGCACGAAAGTACCAACCTTATTCACACGCAGTCAGCGCCATGTTTATTCATCCGGGCCGGTATAATAGATACTTAAGGTCTTCGAACTGCCAAAGACTTCCATTTCCCAATCAATCCCACCATAGCAATGCGTCACTCTGTCATAGCCTTCGCTGCGCTCACGTTCTCCTCTCTCATATCCGCACAAGCACCCAATGCTTCAGACGCTACCTACCTGACTGCACCTGCTTTAGTCACCACAACTGAGAACACCACCACCATTCAATGCTGGTGCCTGAAATACCCTTTCACAGTATCTACAACAGCAGGGACCGCGGGAAGCCGTGCCATAGCATTAGGCAATGTGACGAGTCTAGGCTATGTCATCCAGCCACCGCGATTTGACGGCGGATTGCATAATGCGCCTACAACACAGTGAGTAGATTGGCTGTACGCTGAGCTGCGCTGACACTTTCAAGAATCGTACACTTCCTATCTGGACTCGCGCGTATCACTTTACCCCAGGACCCATCTCAGGAGCTGTGGTTGCCTGGGGGTAAGGGCGGTCTGGTGGTCGCTGCGGATGTAACGGGCGAGGGACACATAACAACGTATCCGAGTGACCAAGACACGGTCGCCATTACTGCACCTTTTGACGATGGTGTGGTTCCACAGTATGAAGTGATCAACGAAGGGCCGTGTATGGGGCGACAGACGTTCATCTAGTAGACTAGAAATGCGATTTGAATGGAAAGAAGGTGCATGTTGGTTGTACAGTCTATTCGTTGGCTCGATGCAAAGAGAATTGTGGTGTTCCGCTTCCTTCCTCCAACTCCTGGTGCTATACACCTTCATTCATCTCTTATTAT